TTTTTTTTTTTTTTTACAGCATTTTCCCCCATATTTTTCAATATTTTATTAACTTAGTAAAGTTAATCTAATTGATTTGATGCTAGAATTCAGGAAATGAAAATAATAAGTGTTACACACAAAAAAATATCCTTTAAAGAATAATATTTAATAAAAAATTAATAATTAAAAAGTAGTATGAAAAGAATTATATAAATTAATATGTATTTTTGATTTGTTATTTCAATTAAGAGTATTTACAACTCATGACAAAGATTAGGTGGTACAAGATAAATGCATTGCGAGACATTGTCTAAAGTGTTATACTTAGGTTGATGTTACCATACATCTATCGGAATATCACTGTATAAGTAATAATTAGCTTAGAATTAAATGTACCTGTCTCTTGTGGTCAAGCTATTGTTGGAGGTTCTTCAAATTCATGATACCGTCGAACGGATTTTGAAGTCAACAACACAGTTCAAAAGGGAAAATATTAGAGGTACATAATTTTTGTTACATAAGGGTGTCCACCATCTCACATAAGTGGGGCCCGCTCGATAAAATTATGTACAAGAATCTTTATACGTCTAAAAGTTCAAACTTCGGCAAAATAATTTTCCCATAAATTCTATTTTCTCCTATGCAATCAAACTTGAGTCTACTAAACCAACGTGCACTATCCACATTGGACCTAAAATTTGAAGATGACATGGCACCATCCCTTGTCATGATTGGTGAACCTCAGCAACGCACCTGGTAACATAATATCCACTTCCCTACCATATAGGATAAGAGCTATAAACCACAGCCACCCATCCAGATTACACAAGCAAAAGTTTTACATGGCTGCAATTTTCTCTCCTTCAGCACTCCTCTCTTCATCCTCCTCTACCACTTCACCACCTCCAAAACCACCAGTTCCACCGCCGCCAACCAAACCCCATCTCAATATCCTCCCTACAAAAGCGCAATTAACTAAATTAACCACCACACTAGCTGCCACTGCCTTGGCCACAACAATTCTAACCATCCCACCACCTTCCCTTGCAGACTCTCCTTATTACTTATACTATGGAACGGCTGCCAGTGCAGCCAACTACGGCGGATACGGAGGCAACTCCGATAAGAAGGCATCCGCAGAGTACATCTATGACGTGCCAGACGGATGGAAAGAACGAGCAGTAACGAAGATACAGAAAGGAACTAATGGCACTGATAGTGAGTTTTACAATCCAAAGAAGAAGACAGAAAAGGAATATCTAACTTTTCTTGAAGGTTTTAGGCAACTTGCACCAAAAGATACTGTGCTAAACAACTTGGCATTATCAGATGTGGATTTGCAAGATCTGATTGCAAGTGCAGAAAATGTTAAATCAGAAGAGAGAAAGGACGAAAAAGGGCAAGTTTACTATGTGTATGAGATTGATGGGCTTGGTGCACATAGCTTGATATCAGTTACTTGTGCCAAGAATAAGCTTTATGCTCATTTCGTTAATGCTCCAACACCAGAGTGGAATAGGGATCAAGAAACTTTGAGGCACATTCATGAGTCCTTCAAAACTGTAGGGTGAAATTGGTTTGCTGTATTTGTATGATATTGGTGTTGCACTGGAGGGGGAGACAGAACAGAACATAGGTATGGTATTCTGGGATGTGTTTTTGGGTTTATGATAATGTTGAAATGAAATGGACATAATTGAGATGAATGTATATGCTCATATTATACTGTATAAAGATTGATGTGGGCTTAAGACAATTCTGTAATTTCTAACTCTGAGGGATGAATAAAATTTCAATGTTGTTATTGTCAAAACAAAGATTTCAATTTAGTGATCCATGAACTTTAGGTTAGTTTTGAGGATTTAAACAAATGGATCACGATCCTTTATGGCTTTATCTTTCAAATTTTCATGATGTTCATGAATGGCTCAAACAGCTTATGTTTTGAGGGCTTGAAAGATCTATATAATGGATGATAAATGACATAATAGGGTGCAAATTGTCTCAATGGTTAATGTTATTTAGCAGCTTCGGAATTAGAATTATGTTTTAATTCATCCCAAGTTGAAATTATCTCATACATTGGACCTAGTTTAGTGATTTAGGATCTTCCCGGTTTGAAGCTTTTTATCTTCTGTAACCGAATTGGGCAGGGGATAAAACGATTTCCCTCCACCACAAAATATATAGTTTTTCTAGAAAACAATTTCATTTCATAGTGTTCCCGAAAGCGAAGAATTGTAGTCCAAATGTTCTTTGAAGTTGAATCAAGCGGTGATAGCAACCACAAAGGAAGCCACTTGGAACCACACTCTTTAAGGACTTGGTGTCTCACTTCAACCACCTTAATTTTATGGGACATCTTGGGAGCAACTAATTGTATGAAATACTATGTTTCATTCAAGAATGAAGCATATAGTGCTTAATCACTAATTTGTTTGAGATGAAATTACCTACGAATTGCTCACTATCTCTCATGTACTAAATTCGCAGTTTTACTGACCAAACAACTAAGCAAGTGACATCTTTCCCTTCTTCAGTCCAAGATTGATGTTTCATCTTGGAAAAATATGAGGAAAGACTAATCACCAGCTAATCAAAATTTATCTCAGAATTACTTGGTGTGGGCAAATTTCTCTTCAATCACATATAATGTCCGATGGACAAAATTTGTGGAAATTTTGAGAAGTTAACTGCCAAAAATTAAGGATTTGACATGGTTTCTTGTGTAGAAACTGGCAAATCAGGTGTGTGGTTTGCGAAAGGAGATATAGAAGAAGGGACTCGCAAATAACTCAGTCATATATGTTCAATACTTATTTTGGCTTCAACTGGCTTCACACAAACAAGAACATCTGTACCCTAATTTGGCTGAAAAAATTTACCATGAATTTTCATTTAGTCACTGCCACTGGCATTCTCGTTCACAATGGCATCACTGAATTATTTGGCTAAGGATCTGCGCACCAGAGAAGCGAAATACATTTGAAAGCTCTTTGGTAAAGGAATTATGTCTCTATTAATGATTGTGTTATGCATACATGGAGACCGTTCAAGGCTGAATTCGTTTGTCAACTATCCCTGTTTTCTTGTTCTAGAGTAATATGAAACCCCATTCCATAGTTTTGCACTTTCTATTTTTTCTACGGTTTTCCGTCTTAATTCTCAGCAAACAATCAATATCTGTGATGTTATCTGAAGGTTATGGGGTCTACCATTTGTCCTTGCATGTGAAGTTGAGAGGAAACGTGATGCATTGAGTCCAATAAAGATTATAAAGAAACATAGAACCAAAGAAAATTAGCATGAAACATACATCTAATTCCTATCCATCAAGATATAATAAACCAATTTTATTAATTGTTTGCATGGGGTACAATAACTTGAAAAGGAAAACAGATTCAAAGTTCACAAACATGCTACACCTGCAATACCATCAACATAGATTGGAAATCTGGCCCAGATATATGGAGCTTATGAGTCCCTTCTTTTTCTAACCAGGTAGTTCCTTTCTGGAAGGTATTGTAGTACTTCACAACAAGGGCGGATAAAAAAACTTTATTTGCGTGTAGAAGAAAACAGAAGAAAGCTTATTGTGGAAAGATGACGTTTAAAATGAAAAGTTGATACTGAAATTGTGAATGGTAGTGGGGTCTTTCAATGCTTTGGTGGTGGACTTGTTATTAAATTCTAATGATAAACAGGTGGAGGCGGGGGTGACTCATACTTGTAGGGTGGTGGTGGTGGTGAGACATATTTGTAAGGTGGGGGTGGGGGAGATTTGTAGACATAAGGTGGAGGCGGTGGCGATTTGTAGATGTAAGGAGGTGGTGGTGGTGACTCATACTTGTAAGGTGGAGGTGGTGGTGACTTGTAGATGTAAGGAGGTGATTCATACTTGTAAGGTGGGGGTGGTGGTGACTTATAGACGTAAGGAGGTGGTGGTGGAGATTTGTAGACATATGGAGGTGATTCATACTTGTATGAGGGAGGTGGAGGAGGTGACTCGTACTTGTAAGGTGGAGGTGGTGGTGACTTGTAGACATATGGAGGTGGAGGAGGTGATTCGTACTTGTATGGTGGGGGTGGTGGTGACTCATACTTGTATGGTGGGGGTGGTGGAGATTTGTAGACATATGGGGGTGGAGGAGGTGATTCGTATTTGTATGGAGGGGGAGGTGGTGACTTGTAGACATAAGGAGGCGGTGGTGGTGATTCATACTTGTAAGGTGGGGGTGGAGGTGACTCGTACTTGTATGGCGGAGGTGGAGGAGACTTGTAGATGTAAGGTGGTGGCGGCGGAGATTTGTAGACATATGGAGGTGATTCGTATTTGTAAGGAGGGGGCGGTGGTGATTCATACTTGTATGGGGGAGGTGGTGGAGATTCATACTTGTAAGGTGGAGGTGGTGGAGACTTGTAGACATAAGGAGGTGGTGGAGGTGATTCATATTTGTAAGGAGGGGGCGGTGGTGACTCATACTTGTATGGGGGAGGTGGTGGAGATTCATATTTGTAAGGTGGAGGCGGTGGTGACTTGTAGACATAAGGCGGTGGCGGAGGAGATTTGTAAACATATGGAGGTGGTGGAGGTGATTCATACTTGTATGGTGGAGGTGGAGGTGATTCATACTTGTATGGTGGTGGTGGTGGAGATTTGTAGACATATGGAGGTGGCGGAGGTGACTCGTACTTGTAAGGAGGGGGTGGTGGTGATTCATACTTGTAAGGAGGTGGCGGAGGTGATTCATACTTGTAAGGAGGTGGTGGAGGTGATTCATACTTGTAAGGTGGTGGAGGTGGTGACTTGTAGCCATCGTCGGCACTTGTACTTGCCACCATCAAGGAGAAAAGAGCTAGCAGAACCCATAGATGGGGTTCCCTGAAGCTCCCCATTGCTTCTAATGAAGAAAGAATCAGAAAAATCTCAACTTTATTCTTCTATCAACCAAATTTGTTTGTGCCTTTTGTTATGGAAAATGGCTTATTCTTCCACACATATATATACACACATTTCTTGAAAACCTTGTTAGAATTAGTCCCAATTTCTTTCAAAATTGGGATACAGATGAGCAGGTAATTGATTAGGTAAGTTAAGAAGCAGTCAGTTATTGAGACTTTTGATAATTTTTTAGCAGTAAATTTGTATTAATCAATACAAAAATAAAAAAATAGTTGGTTTAATTAATACATTTTGGTGTATTATTTATGCATTTGTTCTTCTAATGACTGGTTCCAAGTATGACTCAGTTGTGTGATTTTGAAGTTAAAACAAACTGAAAATGATATGAAGGCATTATTAATTACTAATCAAAAAAGACTTGGTAATTAATTCACATATTTGAATTATCAACTCGTTTTTCACCTTAGTTTATTATATAAGAAACCAAAACCTATTCTCTATTTGCTGCTTAAAATCTACCAAATACATTATCAAAGTTTAGAAGTCAACTGGGATAATGCCATTAATTCATTTAAGAATACAGTACAGGTAGCAATGGAACGGAAAGGGGGGAAAAATTGAGCGATGCTTCAGAACCGGGGATAAGTTCTAGGGTCGAGGTGCCTCGACCCTGGATCTTCACACATGCGGGGCCCGCATCTCGGCCCATGGACTGAATCCCGGGATTTTATCCCGGGATCTCCAACTTTTTTGAAAAAAATTACATTTGAACATTGTGAATGTTGCATAAAATATTCTTTTATAAATCTAATATTTATAGTCATTTTTTTATTAGTATAAGGACTAAAAACTTTTTATTACTTTTTGTTAGTCCTCAACTCTCAGTTGAAATATGCAACAAAGGCCGTGACAAATGCAATTTTTAATCACATTTGCCAAATATTTTGGTCGAAGACTTTCTAGAAGTTACTGAAATTTATTTCAAAAACTAAAAAATTACAACATTTGAAGGAAAAATTTTTTTTTTGAAGAAATTCAATTTTTTAAAACATACCGAAATCTAGAAGTTTTTGTACTAACAACAATTATTTTATTCTTAATTAGTTAATTCCAATGAGCTCAAATTATCCAATTAATACCATGAAGAATTTTCAAACTACGCAATGTTTAAGAAAATTTCTCAAAAACAGGTAGTCAGTTATGTCTCAAAGCTATGAATTGTACGACAACCAAAGGAGTGTGATCGGGACTCCATCTCTACCGTCCACCATGTCCGAATTCGTGAAATTACGGATATTAAGATATTTTTATTTAATAAAGATTTTCAAAAATGAATTAATCAATGCTCAATATTTGATTCGATAACATGGGATCCCTAAATTTTAGTGCATAATAGTTCAGATGTTATAAATTGTAGTATAAATTTTATTTTTATTTTAAAAAAAAAAAAAGAAGAAGAAGCGATTTTGCAAAATACATAGGTAATTCTGAAATTTTCATAAATAAATATCGGGAAAAAGAACTTGGTAAGGACCTAATTACCACATAAATAAATAAATTGTGAAAAATGTAGAACAAGTCACATGCCAGAGTCATGCCATCATAAAAAATTGGAAATTATGACATTTCGTGTAAGGATATAAAAATATAAAATGGACATGCTAACCGCTCTTGACTCATGAAAATGAAAATTCACAATATATACATATATACGTGTGGTAGCTGTAATATGAGCTCAGCTAAATATACAACAACAATCCAAAGTTGCATATCCGGATGGAAACTAAGCTCCCTTTGACAACCCAGTTTTGATATGTTGGAAGCTATCATCGTTGTTGAACCTAATTTCTATATTGCATTTGCGGGTAAAAAAGTAATTGAACAAATATCAAATAAAATAGTACATGTTAGTATGTTATACTTGAGCTAGAACAAGAAAGGATGAAAGCGAATTGGTATGATAACTCCTCATTTGTAAATCAGCCCTTCTCGTAAGGTATTTTCTCAATGAATGAAAGATTGTAAACAGATGAAGTCGTTAATTTTTAGTGGTTGATTAATATTCAATTAAAGTTTTAAAATCTATGACTAAGTTAAACATCTATTTGTGATCTACAAAAATTTTATTTTGTGGTCAGGTATTATTAAATATATACACACGAAAGCAACTATTAATATCCTATCATTTGAACAAGTCCTAACTGATTTATAGTTTAGGTATGTACTTTTCTGGAAGAACAGTTATGATCTTGGACCATCATTAATGACTTTTCTTTAGAATTCGACTACTTGATCGTTCCACGTATTTATATTATGTCGATTTTTTAAAATAAATCATTTTAGATGACGTGTTTTATTAATGACGAAAGTAAAACATAGTGCAGTAAAAGTGAAACTTCCCTGCCTAGAGATGGAAAGTTTAACTAAAATTTATAAGGTATACTTCATGCGTAGAATTCGACTACTTGATCGTTCCACATACTTATATTATGTCCATTTTTTAAAATAAATCACTTTAGATGACGTGTTTTATTAATGATGAAAGTAAAACATAGTGCAATAAAAGTGAAACTTTCATGCCTAGAGATGGAAAGTTTAACTAAAACTTATAAAGTATACTTCATGCGTCCTAGTCATACTCCTTGTCACCATACTCCGTCGTATAATGTCTATTGATTCATCAATTTTGAACCCGCTTCTTGAAAGAGATTGTCTAAATTTATTAACGTATCCTAAATCTTGAAAGTAGTACTTCCTCATAGTTTGGAGTGTCCTGGAATATTCCCTTGTTCTCGGGTGGAAATGTGATATTTCCACTTTGACATAATTTCAAATATAAGCAATTAGCTACTTGCAACATCTAATTCCAATTATACTTAGGTGGGTTGTATGAATCATTTTTCTCAATTCTACTTGGTTCATTATAGAGTATGATCACGGAACTTTCACACTCGCATCTATTATTTGAGACCGGCATGCATGTTTCGCATATGCTCCTCGACGTGCCATAACTTCGTTTTGTAGAAGAGGAACTTGGATTTTTTGTACGCGCATACTTCTGTTCTTCCTAAATTAAAGGGCACACATCCAAAGTCGACCAAATAAGACTATAGTTCACAAATGAATTGTGAAAATCAACATAAAGAATCAATGCTGGATTCCTACTTTCTTAGAGTAGGCATTGTAGTTGTAAAATAACTAAACCAATGAACGTTGTTGGGAGCTTTGTTATCTGAAAGTGTGTGTTATGTCAAGAGCATTCTCATAAAAATGTTGATGAGTCGATTGATTCTACTATAAAGACCAATGAAAAAATAACTCTTCCTAATCTCAATTCATCTTGGAGTCTTAGAAGATGATGTGGCCTCCAATGGCGTATGTGTCTTCTTGGTTGAACGAGAATACAATGCATCGATCATTGCTTAAAGGGAGCTGTGATAGTTATGCACGAGTCATGATGATATAATACTTTGTTCAATGATTGATTTGCGGAGATATGTGGAAAAATGTTTCCCATCAGCTAGACGTAGTGACATATGATCTTGCATTTACAAAAAATCAGCCTATCTTTCAAAATATGTTAACATTTTGAGATGCAACTTTAAATCCCAAACATGTAATGGACAATTGCACACATTGCTCTAGGTCTCTTTTGTTGGTCCTTCGGTTTGGTGAAGTGTTTTGGGCAAACTAGTTTTACTTGGTACATTGGGGGTCTTTTTGAACCTTCTTGGGTTCTTTCCCTTATGGTCTAGCTGGGGTGTAGGTTTCATTTGCTATGTCCTAATAGCTTGGGCTAGCCCCTTTTTCTTCAATTTCACTGGGTTTCCTTTTTCTCTTGGCCCTTTTCTTAATTAATAGGCGATGTTAGCTTTCTAATTCCAACACTTTTTTTGGGTATTTTGCTTTTGGGTTCTGTAGTTTAATCGATGATCTTTTAGTTAAGTGAAATGAGTAACGCTATTTAGTTCCGCTAATGTTAAAACGCCAATGTAGGCGACATTAATACAGTCTTAAATGAAAAGTATAATTAAATGAGACACTTAATTCTACCTTTTATTTAACTTATCATAGAGCACAACCTAAACTTCACATAGTACCTCCTAAACTAGTGTTATAACACGAGTAATGTTAGATAACACTATTCAAGTGAAAAACCTAAAATGATTAAAATACTTGTAATTTGAGCAATTCTTTCTGGTGACTCCATCATACATGTATTCATTATGCTTGTTCTAATTGTCCCCATAGTCAACAACTACAATAATATTTTCGAAAACCAAAATCTAGATAATGGAAATTTTCAAGAATTTTCTTTTTCCCCAGTGAAGAATTCCAGTGAAGTTTCGATAACAATATCAGATTAAAAACTCAAGACGAGATTTCCAACATGAAAATAATTAGTTAAGCTGCAAGAATGATAAAAAAGACCATATAACTAGAATCCAACATAGGATTTGGTACATGTTTCATTACTTATTATAGTGAATAGTAGCTATATAAACTATATCTAGACTTGGAGTAGCAATCCATCATCCATGCTTGCATATCTATTCATGACCTTCCCTTATCTCTAACTTCTTAGTCATTTGGCAATTTCACCTGCAGAAGAGAAACATTTTAATCAGCCTTCAATTCATATTTACTTCGTCTGAAATTTTAAGATGTTAAAAAGACAATGTGGGAAATGCAATATTCATTTTTTATCATATGTCTAACACGTTCACGATTTTCACAAAATAGATAGTGGCAAGATTTGAAGTCGGGATCTTCATGTCATAACATATTAAATCACCTTATTAAAAAGTTTAATATGTTAAATGGAGATATAGAACACGTAAATTCATTTATGTGTAGTCTTCAATACTTATGACACGAAATGATACTCTTCAAATTGATTGGCGATGGACAAAAATCACGAAATGAACTGGATGGTGAGAGAGAGAGAGAGAGACTTAAAAGGAAAAAGTTTACATGGTTCAAAGTTGGCAGTGCACTTATCAGGAAGCTGCATAGCCATGTTTCTATCCACACCAGTAATTGTAGGGCCATTGACAAGCACACAAAGACAAGGCTGGC